CCCGGCACTGCACGAAATACATGTACATAATGTATATTATGGCAAAAGTCAATGCCGGAATGTCTGAACTCTTAAACAATAAAGCGCCCCCACCACCGTGTGACAAAAACTGCGCACGCCTAGGTGTAGCGATGACTTGCAGGAGAACCCCACAAAACCCACAATAAAAATCATTTCCTTTTACTCCCCTGGCATTAAAAGGGCAACGCTTCCCTTTCTGCCAATTCAAATATGGAGGAAATTCGTTTGGACTGGCGCTGGGAGAAGAATAGGCCTATAACCGTGTACGCGCGAGTGCGTGTGTGTATATATATTGTATATCTATGTCCACAGATATTGATTTCTTTTCAGCATAGAAAGCACCTACTCTTCCCCGCCGGCTCGTCTGAGGGTCACCTGCGATGAACACTGATTGATAAGAGCAATTGATTTATATTCGATCCTCTCACTAGTCGATCGGGTGCTTCATCGATCAGATGAAAGGATATAGGCGTATCAATAACGTGTGTGCATTTTTGCCATTTCTAGAACTGCCGCGAACACAACCTGACCGGGGGCATGGTGTGCCAGGCTAACAGTTCCATGATACTTTCCCTTAGTGCTTGTGTGCGAATGTCTTTGTGTATATATGTGAATGTGTGTGTGTGTGTGCATGTGTGTGTGTGCATGTGTGTGTGTGCATGTGTGTGTGTGCATGTGTGTGTGCATGTGTGTGTGTGCGTGCGTGCGTGCGTGCGTGCGTGCGTGTGTGTGTGTGTGTGTGTGTGTGTGTGTGTGTGTGTGTGTGTGTGTGTGTGTGTGTGTGTGTGTGTGTGTGTTTGTGTGCACGCGTGCGTGTGTGTGTCAGTCATTGGGTGTGCTTGTCGGTCTGGACACAAGGTTGACAAGAAACATTCAAGGACGGACATTCAAAATGTGGACCAAAATCGTACTTTATCTTAATTGTACTTTATCTTAGTAAGAGTGTTATGGTACTTGCAACACATTTAGGTCATGTAACTGTCGAAGATCAGAGGTGTTACAAGGGAGTAACAAACACAAAACGGAGGAGAGATCAAGACTATATATGTTTAAAAGGGAAAAAGGGACAAGCCACACCAGAGCACCCGCCAACCACACACCATTTCGTATTTCAACCTTGACGGTTTTGATGATAAGTGTTTTACGGCCGCATCAACACAACTAATTTATTTAGGAGGTAGGTTGTTTCTATCCTGTCCCGTCCATCACGCTCAACCTGGACAGAGTGGAATACAGCACACCAGCAGACAAACGTAGATATTTGACTTTAAAAATAACACTTCCCCTCTCGGGAATCGAACTTATGTCCTCTGCCGCAACGGCAAAGGGCCAAATCAGATGGTTGCCTTAATCCTTTAATGGTGACGAGATGCTAACTAGAGAAACATATCGACAAAACAGTAATTTACTGACGAGAAAGAGGATAAACGCCACACATTAACGACAGAGGGAGAGTGGAGAAAGTCGGAAACATGAAGGCATTCAACACCATCACTATAACATTGTGAGTGCATGTCGCTACCTCGTAATTGCAAAGTTATATCGGACATTTTTGGCCAGTTTGAGTACTAAGGCCATGAGTGAGTTCAGAAACCTAATGTCCTATCTGCTTTATCAAAATCGTAAGATTATTCGGAGTCATTATCAACATATTTAAAAGAATTGTATTCGAAAAAGCGAAAAAGCTTGACATGATGATGATAATAATAATAATGATGATAATGATAATAATAATAATAATAATAATAATAATAATAATAATAATAATAGATAGATAGATAGATAACATTTGTATAGCGCAAATCCCCGCTCAACAGCAAGCTCTATGCGCTTCACTATCTATACTATTACCCCAGCAGACCTGAGAGCATTCTGAAACAAACTCAACTTCCTGGGAAGCATACAGTACAAGCAGCCATTTATATGCGCTAAAACACTAACATACAGACAATACTTTTCGCTGCCTAAGGCCAGGTACCCATTTCCATCTTGTTGAAGAGAGTAAAATTCGTGTAAAGTGCCTTTCCCAAGGACACAACGTCGGGCCCGCGGCTCGAACCCCCGACCCCGCAGCTGCACGATTACAAGTCCGGTAGCTTAACCATTAGGCTACCGACGCCACTTGTGAAACTCAAAATTTTTGGCGTTAAACTTCTCAAAACTAGATATTGAGCAGATAAAACATTGTAATTCTAAGGTAGCGATGTATTTACTGACAGTGCGTCCGTCTCCGAGGCATAAAGTTCAGGTTCAAGCCTCGGTTCGGACACGGATTTTGTTCGGACACGGATTTTGTTCGCCCCCTCCTGCCCACTCAGCAGTTATGGGTACCTGACTTTAAGTTGGGGAAGTAAAAGCGGCGTAAAAAGGAACTGGTCACCCTACCACAATATGTCGACGGCCCAGGAAGTTGTCTCACTAACAAGGCAATCCCCAATGTCCGGATCGGAAGCGGGAACAACTTCATACAAAGGCATTAATATTCCTTAAAATAATGTACATATTGCCACAAATTTAATATCCAATACGGTATACAGAAAAGAGACAAAACATACATGCACACGTCCCACGCATACACACACACACACACACACACACACACACACACACACACACACACACACA